TTTAATAAATAATCCTAAAAACACAAAATCAGTGTTATATGAAACAATGAATAATCTTAATTTATTTCCAACCTAAAAAACTAAGAATTCAGTTACAAAATAGAATTAAACTCACAATATTTAAGCTTATTTTAAGACATAAAGTTAAAAAATTTTAAACAAAGTAGTTCTATATGACCATTACAATATCCTCTATCTATCTATCTATCTATCTATCTATCTATCTACCTATCTATCTATCTATCTATCCATCTATCTACCTACCTACCTACCTACCTACCTACCTATCATCTATGCTTTGGGCTGAAATATGGAAGATCTAGCTTTTGAATTTCCTAAAGATGTCTCTGATGTAAATGGAAAAAATTTCTTCCTGATAACACCATGTCTAAAATACATTGCTAGCAAGGGACTGAGTTCAGCTCTCTCCCTTTTAAGAGCTTTCTTTTCTTCCTTCAGGCACTGACAGCATATTCATTGGACTAAGTGTTCTTGTCCTTAGTACCTGTGCTGACAGTAGAGAAGCTTTCTAGTCAGAAAACTCTTTACTCCCCTTGGATGCATAAATTTAGCCCCACTTAGCTCCTGAGTGGTGCTGAAGGGTGGAGGGGGGTTGAGTTGAGAGAGGAAGTGAGAGAGAGAAATCACTTTCCTCATTTTAACACTTTGTCCTTGTAAGTCAAGTCCAAATTGAAAAAAAATGTGTTTGGTCTTGCTACTGAGGTTACGATTGTTAGATGAGCCAATAAGAGAGAACAGGGGAAGTAAAAGTGATTTGGGACTACTATCGTTCAGTTACTTTGTTTATCCATCATTATCCCTCCTTTTACAGACTCAGATGCATCCCCTTGGCTGTGTAACAGTCATCAGTGTAATCATCTACCACCTCCCTTACAGTGATGGAGGCCTTATAGTGTGCATAGAAATGCCTTTTAAAAAGTTAGGTTGCTGTAAGCAAACTGTCTTCATGAATCATATTGTCCTTAGTATCCCCCCTCTTCCCCATTTAGTTCTTTGGTGATAAATTTTCAGAAAAGAATGGACACATTTGTGTTTACGACTATGTGATGTCAGGACTACCAATCAAAATATTTTTTTAGTAATAAAAATCAGCCAAACAGCTTTCTTTAACATAGTATGTAGATGATTCTTAGAATTAAAATAAATAAAAATTATATACTTATAATCTGTTAAAAACAAGACAACAGGCCCCAAATGAAGTCACTTATGCTAAGCTCTACACTGCCAAACTGTGACTTAATTACAGTTTCGGCTCGTCCAGAAATGGAATCTTAAACCAGTCATTCAGGAATCACCTTGTTACTAGTCCAAAGTCTGTATGCTTGATGCTTTGAAAGGCCAAACTCAAAACATTAGAGTTTAGAGTAAGGAAAGTTTTACTGATTGAGAAGGTGTCAACTAAGTTGGGAGCCCTAGTGGTTCCTCAAATCCATTTTACAAAAGCACAGAGCTCAGGCTTCTTTTATGTCAAGAGAAAAGGAAATGGGAGGAGCTGTCTTTGTAAAGCTCAAGCTGCAAGCAGAATTCCTCTAATGATTAGAAGCTATTAGCCTGAGGCTTTGGGAACAAAGCAGGCTTGAAAAAGATGGAGTCAAAGAGAGACTAGCATTTCACTCAGTTACAACCAGATCAGCACTAGTTAGATACTATCTTCCTGAAAGACCCTGGTCATTCCCTGAAGGAAAGTAACCTTGCAATAACCAACCTACCTTTTTTTTGCCTAGTATAACTTCCTTGTTCTCACTTCCACTGCCTATACAAGTCTTTCATTTTGTGCAGCTCCTCAGATCTCCTTTCTCTCTGCTAGATTGGATACTGTCCGATCTAAATCAATTTTTGCTCAGATAAACTCAAATTTTTACATATGCCTCAGTTTATCTTTTAACAAATTCCACCATCCAGAGGTAACAACAGTTAACCATACAAACAAGAAAATTTGTTGTACAATATTTCAAACTGTGTTCTATGCATTAACACGCATGGGGCCATGCTCCACATACTGTTTTGTAATCTCTTTTACTTTACAGCATAACATGGACATTTCCATGCCAATGAATACAGAAGAAGTTTACATAAAGATTTTATATGTATGTATAGCGTATTTAAGGAAGGGATTACGTCTTGAGTGACAAAGCTAACCAAATTTGATGATTACAGCAGCTAAAAAGAGATCTGGTTCTACTTCCTCCCACAAAAAGGAATTAGCATAATTTGACCGAAACTCTGATATAATGAATCCAGCTGTTTAATTACTATTTGGATTCCAGTCTTGTTTTCAGAAAAAATACATCTATCTCTCCCTGAAAAAAATCCCTATCACTGACCACTAGGGCTGTGTTCTTAAACTTTAGTTGTTTTTGTAAAATTGGCTTTGGAAACAGACTACTTTGTCTTGTAATTCTAGTTCCACCATTTACTAGTTTTGTGAAGTTAACTCTCTGAACCTGTTTCTTCATTGCAAAATGGAGTTAATAATAACTATTTCACAGATTCATTGTGATATCATATAAGATGGTATGTGCTGCATTCTATAAACTGTAATTATTATTCAAGTTATTAAAAATACTGTCTCCCTCTGAAACTGTTAATCAGCAACCTGACTCAGAAATATTTACATATTCATTTACATTCAGTCTCTACTTAAAGCATACTTTTTATCAAATCAATACTAAATAGTCTTGGAATCACAGCCAGTTAGACCAAAGTCTTAAGGAACACTCTCCCTATAGACTACAGAAGGATTAGAGAACTAATTGTAAAAGAGGAAACTGGAAAGGAAATGGAAAGCATAGGTGAATATTTATCTGATTTCAGGGTATAAAAGGCATTTCTAAGTATAAATCAAGGGAAGAAATGAAAAGGACAGAAGTTGATGGATTTTTACCACTTAGAAATTTTAAGTTTCTATATGTTTTTATTTAAAAAAACACACACACACATAAAAAAGTTTTCTACAAATCACAGCATTGTAAAATAACTCTGACAATGAAAGGCATAGAAAACCTGGATGGATAAGCTAAACAGAACATCTACTAATCTTTTATTTCCCCATTTCAAAGTCTTCCACAAATTTTCCTGACAGTCTGTCCCACAACCACCATCATAATAATCTCAAAGAAAAGATTGTTCTTAAACACAAAATAAGGCTTTTAGATTATCCTGATTATTTACATAGGTGTGGCAAAAATGTTAATTTACCATATATTTGAAAATTTAGGGTATTGAACAACTATTGCAACCATAATTTAACTTCTGTCTGGATGTTTTCACAATATATGTAAGTTTAGACTTTCAAGAAACTTACTATTTGCTTTCCGAAGTTTGGGAAATCAAGCCCAAGAAACTCTCACCACCAGTTTATCCTGAAGTACCGATAAATTTGAGTGAATTCTGAGGTCCTGAAATTTCTTCTGGAGTCCTGGAAATCCTGACTCAGTCTACTGGTGTAGTCTGAGAATCTGAGAGTTGTCTAAGTAATGTCAGCTCAGCTATAAAGTGTTAGTTTGAAGAACCTAGCTCAATCCTTTTTCCAGGAGGCTCTGAGACTTCCCTTTGTTGAAAACACAAACGCTGACCTTTAGCATAGAGTAGAATCTTAAAGCAAGCATTACAATAAAAAACTATCTAGAGTAGATAGAGACTTCGAATGGCTGTGGTTAGTTTATTATTGAGAACTTTCAAATGTGAAAGGTCTGGTAAGTCTTCATATTAAGAACAGGCAACTGACAAGATAATTTGGTTGTTCCTACGTCATGCAAAACAAAGATAATAAAGCCACTGCAAAAAAAAAAAAAAAGTGATGAAGCCTGTTCTCAAAATCAGCAAAAGTTACTCTGATTCATAAAACACAATGAACATAATTTATATAGAGTCTTGAATATAACAATACTGAGATATTGTGTGTATAAATATACATATATAAATAATATGCCAAGAATATACCAACTACAAACTAAGAATATCAAATAAAGAGATTCAGTAAGTCTGAAGTGGGCCTAGATAGCTGTAGTTTTTACAAACTGCATAGGTAAGACTGACAATTCCCCATTAAAAATTTAGTAGTCTAGAAGGTAGTAAATTCAAATTAAAAACAAGGCTGTCACAAGTCAACATTTTATATAATGGCTGAAATTATGACTGATAACATTATACTGCTATTGCCTACTATGATAAGGTCAAGCACCACCAAGACTCTGATAATAAATGCATAGCATGGATAGGAAGGGCACTGGTAAATCTCCAGAGACTTCCCATAAAACGTACAATTTCTGAAATATTTATACTATTTTACCTATGCAAATTTAACCGAATGAAGGCCAAGCATCACTTTTGATTAGACAACTCTTCCTATGAAATTTACAGTAATAAATAGACCAAATAAACCTACTTATTCAAGCGTTTCTCTTTTTATAAGGTAAAAAGAACAAATCTTTGTGATTTTTTTTAGGGACCCCCTGGGAAAAGTATTTATTGAGACCTTTTCCCTTTTTAATCAAGAATAGAAAATGGAGCACTTTGGAGAGAATAGGAAGCTATTTAGGAGCAGAAAATTTCCAATAATTCAACTTAGACGTCTGTATTCATGGAATCTTTGTAGGCTGTTCCTACAAATGAACACTGTCTCCAGCATAGAAAAATCCCAGTTTAAACCCAATTAATTTTACATTTTTGAGACCTTTTAAATAATCTTTTTTCAAAATGGAAGTGAGGAGGGATATATTTTAACAAAAACACTGTTACTATTTATTTAGCAATCCTATAGTGTAAATAGTTTCTTGTGTTCTGTTGCTGAGCACATTTTTAGTCAAGACTAAAACAAATAGAGGAGGAATTGGGAAACCTAACAACAAGAGGAATGATTTCCCAGGGGAAAAAATAGAAAGAATGCAGTTTAAACTTACCCTAAGCTTTGGGGGATTTCTTATACTAGAATACATACGCAATTGTATTTGTCTTCAGTCAGCTCAATTTTTTTTCAGATTGATGATTACCCAGAATTTTTGAGTCCACAAGATAGAGAAACCAACCAACACATTCGTATCATCTATTCAACTGTTTTGAAAAAAGAGTATGAAAGATCAAAAGGTGTCAGGAAATTCTTATTTCCATTTCATCATGCCAATGCTAACAACAAAAAAGGTATGTAATATATTTCTTAAAGTGACACATGAAAAGATATGTTTCTTTATAAGACAAAGAAGATAATGTTCTTTTTTCCTCCCCAGCTTTACTGAAGTATGACTGACATAAAATTTGTATATATTTAAGGTATACAGTGTGATGTTTCGATATCTGTATATGTTGTAAAATGATTACCACAATCAGGCTAATTATATTATCCATCACCTCACATAGTTACCTTTGTGTATGTGTGTGTGTGTTTCTGTGTGGTGAGAACATTTAAGATCTACTTTCTTTGCAGATTTCAAGTATTATTATTATTAACTATAGTCAACATGGTATACATTTGGGTCTCTGGAACTTATTTATCTTATAACTGAAAGTTTGTTCCTTTTGACCAACATTTACCTCTTCCCCCAACCCCCAGCCTCTGATAACCACCATTCTACTCTCTGTTACTATAAATTCCCCTTTTTTAGATTCCATGTAAGTGAATTTATGCTGTATTTGTCTTTCTGTGCCTGGTTTAGTTCACTTACACAATGTCCTCCAGGTTCATCTATGTTGTTGCAAATGGCAGAATTTCCTTATTCTTCAAGGCTGAATAATATTGCAGCGTGTGTGTGCACGTGTGCGTGTGCGCACATGCACGCATTTTCTTTATCCATTCATCTGTTGCCAGACACTAAATTGTTTCCATGTCTTGGCTACTGTAAATAATGCTGCTATGAACATGGGAGTGTAGATATCTGAGATAATGGTTTTATTTCCTTTAGATATATACCCACAAGTTGGATTGCTGAATCACATGGTAGTTTAATTTTAATTTTTTAATTTTTGAGGAACCTCCATACTGGTTTCCAGAATGACTGTAATAATTTACATTCCCATCAACAGTGCACATCTTTGCCAACACTTGCTATCTTTTGACTTTTTATATAACACGCAGTTGTCCTATAAGTATAAAGTGTTTTTACATTGTAGTTTTGATTTGTAAAATCCTGGTGATTATTGGGATACTGATAAGATAATGTTCTTTACATTGAGGATGAGCTGACCAGTCTGCTATCAGCAGCACAATGCCAAGGGATAGTTTGCCAGGAATAAGGAAGGATATACAGAAAATAAGGAAAGAATAGAAAGAAATGAGGGAGGGAAGGAAAGAGGGAGCAAAAAAGAAAAGAAGACAAAAAGAAAGAGGGTGCGCACTAAATATTGGTTTTTAAAAAAAGAATGGGTTAGAATCTGGATTCCATTTGGTTAGTTCTTGTTTGACTTTAATAATCTTGCTAACACCACAGATTTTAATGAAAAACCTGGTGAAAAAGTGCAGCGTAACCAGAAAGACTGTGATCCTAGGTTAAGGAAAATTTCTGATAGTCATCTTTGTGAACCCTCTCACCAGCAAGGGAAGCTACAAGGTCCTGCCCTGATAATTACAGTTTATTGCAGTTATAATAACATTTATTCTTTATTCAAAAATATTTGTTGGGAATCTTTTCACCTAAGAATTGTGATACATACCTAGATAAAAAGATGAAAAATCACCTTTAGATTCTGTTTTCAGGGAGCTCAGTGATTGGTGCAGGGGATTTTTCTGCTGTGCCCAAGGAGATCTGGAAAATCCACAGTGAAGTGGGGAGAGAGGGGGAGGGTTAGAAGTCAGGGCGCCCAGCACTCACCTGCCTCGAGCAAAGCTTCCTTGCTTTTATGTTTCACATTTTGAGCTTTACCTAAATATTTCTTGTGAATTAGTTTTAAAAATCAAAGGATGAATGGATAAAAATAAAATAGAACATATAGTTTAGCATTACACTGTTTACTTTCATAGTCTTATATATATATGTACATGTATGTGACATGTACATGTATGTAAAGGAGCCCTTTAGGGTATTGATCCTATGATTGGGAGTTGGTGAAAAGCAGTGAAAAAGAACATGGACTTTGGACTTAGCTAAGCTCAGGTTTGAATCGTGACTCTTAACTTTCCTGGCTGTGTGACCTCTGCAAGTCACTTAACCTTCGTGGGCCTCAATTTCCTCATCTCTGTTATTAGCTTCACAGGGTCCTTTTATTAACATGAAATAATGTGAGCCGGGCTGGGCACACAGCAGGAAAGCAATTAGCTCTGAAGACTGCACCTGTAGCCTAGGAGAAGGGTAGAATGTGGTCCAAGGTGGCTCCTGGAGAGGACCTTCTACTTCTGTCATATGTCCAGTGTAGCTAGACGGGGCTGTACCAGCCCATTCACTCATCACTAGATTTCACTCCAAGTCAGACTCAGTGTTTGTACACTCTCATGGACGAGCACTTTTTCACACTAACACTCTATGGCATGACAACAGTTTGTAGAAGTTGTTGTAATTAGCAGACTTGTTAAATCCCTGGGTGCTCACCCAGTCTCTTGGCACACTAATTAGAAGATCTAACTGGTGCTGGTTGCCTTAAATACATATTTATCCTTGTCCACAGGCATAATTATTCTTGGCTTTTTTAATTCTCTCAAGAAGACAAAAACACATATTAAAGAGGCCAATTACAGGTAGAAATTTTATGAAATTTAAATTCTTAGAAACTTTGCAAATGATGTTAAAAGCAGTGAAGATTTTTTAAAAAACAACCTTGTGTTCATGTGCATGGCTACTCACAGAATTACACCTTTACCTACTTGTGTTTTACTTTCATCTCTGAAGGTATCATCTGGCACTTTTATGCAAGGACTTTTGAAAACAAAACTGCCACTGTCACAGGGGTCATACATAGCACACAGAGGATAGAAAACAGTCCCCCTTTCCAGCATGCTAACAGTGATGCTTCCTGTTCTCCAAGCTGCTTGTTCCCTGGATTCAGACTCGCATAGTTCACCTCCTAGGCATTCTGTAATATGTGGTCCTGAAGCAAGAGACAGGCTCAAAGCTGTCTGACCATCTATCTGACAATAGTCATTACTAAACTCCTTAATCTTAATGATGATGTCATGCCTAGAGAAGCAGCACACATTAACTACGGACCATTTAAATGAAGATAATTATTAGGGCTGATGCTGAACCTCTTGGGTGAAAGCCTAGGGAATATTTGTGTCATGTGGCAAAGGTGCTCACACTCCAATCAACTGGATCATCTTAACAAAGGAAGCTCAAAATTGCAAATCATTTATAAAAAAATTCTTAGTTTAATCATCACACTTTTAACAGGGTTCCTAATTAGGCCCAACTTTTCTGGA